CTCCCATGATGGCAGGTGCATCATTGATGTCCTTGGAGCCCCTTGAACAGTGTGCCGCCCCCTACTCACCTGAGCTGCCAGAACTCGGGGCACTTGGCATCTAGCCGACAGGCACTCACGCAGCGGCTACCAGCTCACCGAGAGGAAAGGCTGGAAGTGTTATTTACAGGTTGTGTAGGACTGAACTGGTCTAAGACAGCAGAAACAAACGGACAAAAACAGAAGTATTTTTTGGGCCTCCGTCAGTAAAATGATGGATCTGACCTGCAAGTTTGGCAGGAATATTAAAAGGAAAAGCATCTCCCAGGGCCAAGCATAGCTTCCAGGATCTACCTTTAGACGGGTGTGGGTGATGGGAGGCACTGAGGGGTAGGGAGAGTTCCGGCAGCGTGGGGCAGAAGGTTTCAGCCTTCATCTCCACAAAGGACCCCATGGGGAGGGGGTTGGGGTCCTGGGTGGAGGCCACCATGCATCCTGTCCTCACCCCACCTTCTCCTTGGGAAGCAGCAGTAAAAACTCAGGCTGAGAAATGTAGACAGCCATTCCTCAGCCTTCCCCGCGGGCGAGGTGGCTTGCCTCTCTCTGACCTGGAACTGTCGGCACTATTTATGCTTAATTGTTTTTAGAAATTCTATTCCTGAGCTGTTGCTTAATAAAACTCCAGGGAGTTTCTCTCTTCCTTTCCTCGATCCCTCCCTCCATCTCCTTTTCTCTCCTTTCTCCTTCCTTCCCTCCCTTCTCCCTGTTTGTTCACTTCCCTTCTATCTACTCTCCTTCCCTCACTTCCCTTATTTTTATTTGTGTGTGTGTGTGTGTGTGTGTGTGTGTGTGTGTGTGTGTGTGTGTGCGCGCACATCCTGGGGCTTGAACTCAGGGCCTGGGCTCTGTCCCTTAATGTCTTTTCTCAAAGCTAGTGCTCTACCACTTGAACCACAGTACCACTTCTGGCTTTTTCTGGTAGTTTGTTGGAGATTAGTTTCACAGAATTTCCTGCTTGGGCTGGCTTTGAACCGCTATCCTCCAGTTTCAGCTTCCCGAGCATCTGGGATTACAGGTCCGAGCCACTGGTTCCCCTCCTTTCTATTTGTGCCCTTTCCCTTTTGTTTTCAGTCTGTAGAGCAAGGTAAGATGTTTCACACACAGACAAATGATGTGCAGGAGTGGGAATCTGAGGGTGTTCTACCATACCTCTGTGTGGTGTGAGTGTACACTTCCTTTTTTAGAGCTACCATTGCTGTACCAATCATAGGACTATAGTCAGAATTGGGCTGGAAGGACTGGTCATTTGTGTGCCCAGGGCAGGCCCTTCCGCTGTCCCTGGCCAAGGTGCGCCAAACCCCTGAATGTTTGGGCTGAAGATGGCCGCCCTGGCCTGGGAAAGCAGCTCTTTATTACTCAGAGGAAAATCTTCCCAGGTAGCCACAGAGCCTGCAAGTGATCTATCCAAAAGCCAAAAGCACCTCAGGGACTGTTCCAGAATAAATGTTTGCAGGAAACAGTCCGGTAAGGTGTGCTGATGCTGGGTGCCCTGGCTGTGGGCCTGCTCCCCTCCCGCCCCCTGCTGGGTGGGTCCCCACAGGGTAGCGCACCCCTCCTTTCCTGAACCGCCCCCCAGCTGAGCCCCTGGAAGGTGCTCTTCCACAGACCAGAGTGCACGTCCCTGGGACCTCTTGCGTGTGGTTTCTGGGAGTTCTCCCAGGGCTCCACGCACCCCAGGAGGTGAGGACCCCGGCTCTGAAGATACTAGAGTCTCCATGGTGATGTGGGAATGGAGTCAGTCTCCCCCATGGGGGACTGGGCTCTGCTTGGGGAGGGGTGGAACTCAACAGAGTTGAGCTGACTGACTGGGTCAGAATCAAGACCTGTCCTGATTCCTCTTACCTGGCACCTCACGGCCGTGCATCCTGTGTCTCTGTGAGGGCGGAGGCCACCCCTGAGGGGTGCACCTGCCCTTGGTGTGTGGGTCTCTTCCTGGCCTTTCTTGGATTTCACTTGTGTTTCTGGCCACTTCCCAGGGGTCCAGCCACCCAGCTCAGATGGAGCTATGGAGAGAGGTAAGCGGAGGGCAGCTCTGAGCTCGGGGGATGCATCACAGCTGCTTGGACAGACAGCCCAGCATCTTACCAATCGCAGTGGTGGATGTGTCCTTTGCTTTCTTCTCTTTATAGGAACAGCTTCCCTGGGAATCCCCACACGCCAGTCCTCAGAGACGAGGGGCCTGGTTTGGGGGGACCCTTTGCAGCCCCTGAGGCCACAGGCACTGATTGAAACAGATCCTGGCCCTGTCCTTGCCCCCAGGTACTCTCCTGCAGTGGAGGGCTGTCCGTTGCCAACTGACCAAGTCAGTGTTGTTGGAAGGAGCAAGCGATGGTGTTGAGGGTAGTTTGTGGTTTTCGAGGTGTGCTGTGAGTCCCTCACGCCCTGGTTTGTCATCCATTCGGATTCATTCTTTCACCCTTGGGGCCTTCTTTCTGCTCTCTTGAGACTGGCTCTCAGCCCTGGAGGCTGGAGAGGGGCAGGAGCTGGGCCTTATTCCTCAGGAGCGCCCTTCTCTGGACAGACCTGCCCCCCTCTGTGCCCTGGGTCATCTGGGGAGCCACACTGCCACCATGTTTGTGAGCACACCCTGTGCTCTCAGCCCTGTGGGTCCCACACACCAGCCGTGCATGGAGAATCGCACACTCAGTCGTGGCCTGGACAGCTCAGCCTCATGCACTCGGGGAGAAGCCCGTCCCGAATGCTGTTCTGTGCTCCTTGTGGCCAGGGATCTCTCCCCATCCCCCCTTTCTCCCTCCTTCTCCCTCCCTCCCTTTCTCTCCACCCTCTTCCTTCCTTCCTTTTCTCTCCACCCTCTCCCTCCCTCCTTCCCTTTCTCTCCACCCTCTCCCTCCCTCCTTCCCTTTCTCTCCCTCTTTCTCCCTCCCCCTTTTTCTCCCCCCTTCCCCTCTCCCCTTTCTTTCCATCCATCCACATTTCCGCCACATCTTCCCTGCTGGCCATTAGAAGTCAGGAATCTGTCAGTGGCTGCTCCAGCCCCTGTTGACTGGAAATGCTTAGTTTCAGTGGTCTACCTGCTTATCCATCCAGTGTATTCCCAGCACCTTCCAGACACATTAGGCAATAAACCAGGCAGAGATTTGAAGGCCAAATCTACTCCCCAGAGCTTGAAGACCAGTGAATATAATGCCAGTTCTCATAAACAGAGCTACTGGGTTCCTAACTTCCGCATCATGTTTGCGCCCTCATGGCAGCTGGCACATGACAGGTGAATTCATCTTGGTGGGGCCTGTGGGGGGTGGGGTCTTGAGTTGATGGAAGGTTCTTGAAGCTTAGTAGCTCCCGCAGCTCCCACCCATCGTCCTGGATTCTGAGGGTCAGAATCAAGAGGATCACCAGCATTTAGAGACCAGCGGGGCAGAAAGGTTCATAAAACCTGACCCCTCCTCTGCGATGCCTTACTGGGCACATGGTGCACGCCTACCATCCCAAGCTGTGTGAGAGACCAAGACTGGGAGAGCTCAGTGCCAGTCCAGCCCAGGCAGGAAAATCTGTGCTAGTCCGTCTGTCTCCAGGGAGGGAAGCTGGATTTGGGTGGTGTCTGGTGCACGCCTGCAACTCCAACAAGCATGGGAAGCTTAAAGCTCGGGTTCATGCCGAGGCAGGAAGGGAAAACCAGACATTTTCTCAAAAGTAGCCAGTGAAAACCAAGGATGCAGGTGTGGTTCAGTCACGGAGCACCAGCCAAGGGTCAGCTCACAGAAAAGGACTGGAGAAGGAGGAGGTGGACAGGCCCCAGGCTCCCCTCTACCAGAGGCTGGCTGTTCCCAGCGAGGGTGATGGACAGGACAGTGTGGGGACTGGACAGCATGGTCCTGTTCTGCTTGAGGACCCAAGAGTGAAGGCAACCCAGCACTGGAAGTGGTGTTGGTGAAGAGCTGGGTGCACTTGCCCAGGTGGTGACGTGGAGCTGCCATGGACATCCTGGCTGGCCACAGCAGAGAAGGCTCCACCCCCAGCCCGTGGCTAGCCACCCGAGCAATGAGGTGCTTCTCACCTCCAGGGCAGTGCCAGGGACCGGCCGCAGCTCTCCCTCCCTGCCCTCCCCCTGGTGGATTTATAACAGCTGGGTATGAAGGATGCTGTGTGATCAGTGGAGCCCTGGACCATCTCCTCCAGGAGACGCCTGCGTCTTGTGTAACAAAACTTCATTTTCTCCTGAGAACTGCCCACGTGATGAATTGGCCAGCTGTTCAGCATGAAACATGTCCATGCCTCCCACCCTCCCCAGCTCCTCCACATGGCTCTCCATGTACCCCATTTCCTCTGCCCTCCACCCTCCTCATCTCCCCATCTCCCCTGCTTTCCATCCTCCCTGTCTCCCCTGCCCTCCACCCTCCCCAGTGTTGCTGGCCTCCCTGGTGCCCCATTGCTCCAAGCAGCTGCGGCGTTAGTGTGCACGTGTCCTCATGTTCGTTCATTTCTGCTGTGCTGTTCCAGAGGTGGCTGAGGTACAGAACAAATTCCTGAGCATCCTGGACACAGGCCAGGCTCTTGCTGGGGTTAGACCCTGTGGAGCCGGCTCCCTGGGGGTGAAATCTTAGTGTTCTGATGTCCCACATGGCGGCTTCCTTGTTGGGCCTGAGAAGCCCTTGGTGGCTCTGTGGACATCGTGAGCTGGCTGCCCTAGAAACTGCAGAGGTGTGTGCTAGGGTTTGCTGCAAGAGGAAGAGAGCAGAGCTAGTGGGGGGGGGGGGCGGAGGGGAGTGCTCTGCAGGGCTGTGTGGGTGCCTCCCAGTGGGGTCAGGGGCAACCCTGCTCTGGTCAGGGAACAAGGGAAGACCGCACCACTCCCCAGGAGCTTCTGCTTTGGAGGGGATTCCAGGGAGGTGTGTGGGAGTGGGGACTGGGATTTAGGGTGCAGGGGGTCGGTGGAGCCGGGCGTCTCCTCTGCAGGGCAGGCTGCAGGCTCTGCATGCTCTCATCGCCTATCTCCTCCTCAGGTGCAAGGAGCTCAAGTACGCCAAGGAGCTGCCACAGATCTCCATCATCTTCATCTTCGTGAATGAGGCACTGTCGGTGATCCTGCGGTCCGTGCACAGCGCCGTCAACCACACGCCCACACACCTGCTCAAGGAGGTCATCCTGGTGGATGACAACAGCGACGAAGGTATGGTGGGGAGGGCCAGAGGGGAGACACGGGGACACCTGCCCATGGGGACATCCGCCCCCAGGCTGGATGGCCAAGTCCCGGGCGCCCAGGAGCAGGTCAGGACTGAGATGTGTTTTAGAAGTTACTATTGAGGGCCCTCTAAAAGAAATTGCTGAGCCAGGTGTTCATGGCTTACATTTGTCATTGTAGCTACTCTGGAAGCTAAGATCTAGAGGATCCCAGTTCAGGGACAGCCTGGGCAGAAAGGTCTATCTTCAAAATAACCAGCAAGAACAAGGGCTGGAGGCATGACTCAAGTGATAGAGCACCAGCCGAGCAAGCAAGCACAAGGCCTTGAGTTCAAAATCCTAGTAATATTTAAAAACAAAAACAACTTGAAGCCAAGCATGGAGTATAGGGCTGTAATCCTAGCATTCAGAAAGCTGACAGGAAGATTGAGTTCAAGGCTGGTCTGAGACTTGTTTGAAAATTAAAAGAGAAAACGAAAAAAAATTGTGTCTCACATAATTCCCCCAGTCCCTAAATGGTGACAGGTTGGCTGGATGGAGCCACTCCTGTATCTCGTGTGGAATTCGGTGCCAGGAGGAGCCAAGCACGCAGGCATTTCAAACACAAAACAAGCAAATACTGGTTAGCCAGAGTGGAACCCCTGGGAGGGCCCGGGGGACTGTCAGATGCTGAGGGATGATAGTTGCTGTCAATTGTTCCCTGTGGAAGAGGTGACAGGAGCTATCTGCCATCCCCTGTGGGAGGGGTGACAGGTGCTGTTACTCATCCTGTAGTGCTGCCTGGCAGTGGTCAAGAGTTCACAGGGCTCAAAAGGACAGGAAGCCAGCAGTACTGCCTGGGCCCCCACCATGCTGAGGCCTCATGCCCCATGCCATTGGTACCCCCCTGTGAGGGGCAAGGGATAGAGCAAGGGCCTGTGGCAGAGCGGCTGGAGGTGGTAGAACTCACAGAACCAGCGTTGGACCCTGAGGGCCTCAGCCTGGCTGGAGGGGGGGGCAGCCCCCACTCAGGAGTCCCTGCCCCCCACAGGGAAAAGAGCACTCTCTGGTAGACAAGCCCCTGAGGGACTGGATGGTGTCGACAGAAACACAGATTCATGGGCACATGGTTCATCAGGGAAGCGTGGGCTGGGAGCTCATCCTTTTTCCTTTTTGTGGCTATATTGGGGTTTGAACTCAGGGCCCTGTGCTTGCTAGGTAGGCCGTACTCAGCACTGGGACACTGCGTGAGTTCTGACCCTGCCCACTTGGATCACTCCACCCTCCTGAGCCCTGGTACGTGTCTTCTCTGTGGACGGTCCCCAGTGTGGTCTGACCTGCAGCGATGCGGGTCAGTGATGACCCTCGGTGCTTGCCCAGTGTCAGTACTTCCTTCCCTTTCCCTTCCTCCCCTCTCCTCCCTCCCCTCCCCTTTCTTCTCCTCCCTTCTGCCCCCCCCCCCCCCCCAGCCTGGGGCCCAGCCTGCCCAGATCCTAGCTGTTGTTCAGGTCTTTGGCATTTTTAAAAAAGTTTGGTCTTCACTTGGGAAGGCTGGATTGGGGAAAGTGGGAGCCTGGGATTAGATGGGTCCAATTTCTAGGCATATCCCATTATTATTCTGTGCATGGCTAGCCTCTCTTCATTTCTCCCTGTTTTAATTGATATGTAACTTGCTTACAAGAAAATACGCCATTGTAAAGCACACAATCCAGGGATTTTCAGCACAATCCTGAGGTGCTGTATGTGTCTGCACTCTTGAATTTCAGGACAGCCCCAGCAACCAACTGCCAGAGCCCTCTTGCTGGCTGCCAATCTTTCCCAAAGCCCTGGCCAACCAGGATCTGCCACGTCAGCTTTTTGCTGGTTAACAGGAGATAAGAGTCTCATGGACTTTCCTGCCCAGACTGTCTTTGAACCATGATCTTTAGCTCTCATTCTCCTGATGGCTTCATGTAAGAAATAATTGCTTGACGCCTTGAGTTAAAGAGCTGAGGGACAGTGCCCAAGCCCAGAGTTCAAGCCCCACTACCGACAAAAAAAAAAAGGAATAATTGCTTGAGCCAAGGCCACACGTAGACCCATGCTTTCTTCTAGGAGTTTCTGTGTTTGGGTACTTGGTTTGGGTCTTACTCCTTCGTGAGTGGATTTTTCTCTCTGATACCACCATTCCCAAAGAGCCTGCCCTCTCCCCACCCAGCACCATATACGCCATCACCTCCATTCCCACGGGGTCTGTCTTCGTCCCCCGGCCGTGCTCATGGCATCCTCACCAAACTAATGGAATGTAGACTCATTTCTGGGTCTTCGGTTTCCCTGATCTATGCATCTATCCTTATGTCTTTGGAATTGCTTCCAAGATTGTGAGGTAAAGCCGTCCAACATTGCTCATTTAAAAAAAAAAAAGTTTGAGCTGGTCTTCAGTGGCTCTCACCTATAATCCTAGCTACTCAGGAGGCTGAGATCTGAGCCTCATAGTTCAAAGCCAGCCCAGGCAGAAAAGTCCCTGTGAGACTCTTACCTCCAATTGGCGCTGCGGCCCAAGGGCTTAAGTGGTAGAGCGCTCGCTTGAACACAAAGAGGCTCAGGGACAGCGCCCAGGCCCTGAGTGCAAGCCCCACAAACTGACCAAGAAAAAATGTTTAGTTGGCTGAGTATGGTGGCATATACCTATAGTCCCAGCTATTCAGGGGGCCTAGCCAAAAGCATGAAGCAACGGCCTGGGGGTGTGGCTTAGTGGGCCCTGCATCCAGTCATTCTGCCAGGAACAGAGAGAACCTCTGTTCTGGGCTCCTGACTTACTCATATAGTGTACAACCAACTGCCTTATACATTTCTTCAAGAAAAGGGAATTAGAATTATGTCCAGGAGTGGGTGAGCCTATAGATCAGTTTGAGCACTAAGGCCATCTGAATTTTTTTAAAAAAAATCCATGATCAGAGTCATCTTGCTATTAAAGTTGAATCCACTTCAGTAGTGTTACAGTTTTTATTACACGTCTTACAATTCCCTGGTTGAGTTTATTTCTAAATATTTTATTGCTTTTGATGTCATGGCAAATGAAATTGCTTTCTTAATTTCATTTCTGAACTTTTCATTACTAGCGTACAATCTATTCTCTATCAGTTGTATTTCTACAACTGATTGTGGCGTATCGATCCTGTGTCTTTTATCTTTACTGAGCTTGTCTATTTGCTCTAATAGATTTTTCCCCTTTGGTGGATTCTATCTTTCTCCCTCTCTCTCTGTACAAAGACACAGAGATAGAATCGTATATCTAATATCTATCATGTTATCTTTAAGGAGTGATCATTCTTTTATTTTCTAATTCTTTTATCTCTGCTTGCACAGTTTCCCAGGTGTCTAGTTTTCCTGTTTGTTTTGGTTTGTGTGTGTTTGTGGGACCCCCATGTACCCCTTTTCCCCCACCTCTACCTCTCTTCTGTGCCTCATCCTACACAGTCCATGAGCTGAGTCTGGGGAAACACAAGGCCCAGGAGCCTCCCAGGCAAGATGGTGGGATGGAGATACTCCGAGATGCCCCAGGCCTGAGCCCAGCTGGCTCCCTGCTGTGATGCTGTGATCATGGCTGCTGACTGGGTATCTCCCTTAATAGGAATGTTGATGCTCTCTCTCTAGCTCCATTGCCTTGTCCTCCTAGGTCTGTTTGTATGAAAATGCAGAGCCCTATTATTGCTAAGATTCTCAGTGTTTCCCCCCTCCCATTTGTGGGTTTTTCTGGAATCTTCTCTCTCTAGGGTTTTGGGTTTTGCGGTGATGAGCACGGGCCTCAGGCAGGCAGTTTGCACTAACGACAGGGGACGTGCAGTGTCTGCAGTCTGGAGTCCACTTTCTGTCGGCTTTGGGGAAGTATTTATTGGTAGCGCCCTTCCCCGTTTGTTCTCTGTTCTCTCCTCACCCCCGTTATTCTGTTTAATGCTGGCTGCCTTCTGCCAACGTTACAGTCTCCTGTCTCTCCTCCTTCTGTCTTCCTTTCTTTCCAAATCTTTTTCTTCTTTTGCTTCTCTTGCTACTTTGTCTTGTCCCCCTTTGTTCAGTTTTCAAACTTTCCGTCATTCTGGTTGTACTTCCAGGTGGCCACTTCCATCCTGCAGAACTTCTGTTTTACATCATGTTGCCCTTTTTAAAGGGAGCAGTATGTTCTCTTACCCGCCGTCCCCCGAGGTGCTCGTAGTTTTTGTTTTCTGCCTGCCACGCTCCCACAGGCTCCTCTGGCTGGATTGTTTCGTTCCTATCCTTGTGTTGGAGAATCCATCAGATCAAGGACGGCCATGCCACGCAGAGCTCAGCATCTCTTTGCTTGGCTTTGGTGGTAGGGGGATTTGAAGTCAGGGTCTACTGCTTGCTAAGCAGGTGTTCTACCTCTGAACCCACTCTCCAGCCCCTTTTTTGCATAAGGTTTTGTTTTGCTGTTGTTGTTTTGATGTTGGTCCTGGGACTTGAACTCATGGCCTTGGTACTGTCCCTGGGCTTTTTTTTTTGCTCAAGGCTAGCAACTCTACCACCTGAGCCATACCTCCACTTCCACTTTTTTAGTAGTTAATTGGAGATGAGAGTCTCATGGACTTCTCCTGTCCCAGACTGGCTTTAAACTGCAATCTTCAGATCTCAGCCTGCTGAGTAGCTGGAATTACAGTCATGAGCTCCCGCGCCTGCCTAGTACTAGTTATTTTTCAGATAGGTCTTCTTTTATGCTTGGCCAACCTGGGCTGTGATCCTCTTACTTGGTGTTTCCCTGTGTCACTAGGGGTCTGCCCTGGAGGAGGAGGATGGGATCCCATCCCGCCCCTTGCCCTCTCCTTTATTTCCTGGCTGAGGAGTAAACATTCTAGTTCTGCCATGCCCTGGCACCATGATACTCCGTGTCACCTGGGATACACAGCCATGGAGCCAGCAGGACTGAGACCTCCAGAGATCCATGGGCCAAAAAACCCTTTGCTCCCTATAAGCTGATTATCACAGGTGTTTGTTACAGCACCCAACACCATTAGGGTTTCAGGGTGATCTGGGTGCTTGTGGTCCTGTGGTTGATGGCTTAGTGGTGGTTTAGCATAATTAGAGAGAGGTGGCGTGGCGAGTGTGGCGTGGAGAGTGGCTGGCGTGGTGAGTGCACTTGAGGATGCTGAATGCAAAGTGATTCAAGAGGTAGATTTTAATGGCATGGACTTTACCACGAGAAGACAAGAAACAGTGAACCAATGCTTCTGAGACAAGCCGGGCCCCCATGGGCAGTGTGTGGGGGGCCCGAGGCAGGCTCAGAGCACCTGGGCCCAGCCCTGGCCTTGCATCCCCTCCGCTCCTGTGGCTCTCCCAAGGCATCTCGTGGTCGGGACGCAGCTCGTGCTGTGTTCTCTGCGGTGAGCGCTCAGGCTGTGCTGGTGGCTCCCTCCTGGGAGGCGCACAAGCACCTTTCACCCAGAGTTCCTGTGCGATTCCCCTCCTGTGCAGCCTCAGTCTCTGTCTCAGTGTGCAGATCTGCTGTCCACGTAGCCTGTCACGATACCACAGGCATTTATTATAATTGTTATAATTGTTGATTTAATTACCGTTATTCCTGTTGATCTCTGGCTGTACTTAATTGATAAGTTACTGGATGAACTGCACACATGGACCTTGCTCCTGTGCCCTTACACAGAGGAGAATTCCCTGTCGGGGTGGGGGCTCAGGGCAGAAGCCAGGGTAGCGGTGAGTGGGGCTCCCACTGCGGGATGGTCAGCTGGCCCCATGGGCCAGGCCAGCAGTCCACATTCTGTCTGGGGAAAGACTCAACATCCGTACTTCCCTTTGGGCCGAGATCATCTCTAAGCTATTCCTTCTTTGAGCCACATGTGGCAGGAGGCAGAGGGAAAGCCGCGGTGGGGAGGGGCTGAACGCATTCTCTACGCACAGGCTAGTGCATCACGGAACCCGGTGCAGAAATGCCAAACCAGAGTTGCCAACATGCCCTGACCAGAGCACCCGTCCTGCAGGGTGTGTGAGGAATGCCAAGTTCTTAATGCCAGGCTCTGTGGTGCATACCTGAAATCCTGACACTTGGGAGGCAGAGACACAAGTTCAAGGCCAGCCATGTTTCATATAACAGTGACAGGAATTGGAAATTCTCAGGCCTGCGGGTTGAAGTTTGAGAAGTGCTTGTTGGAGCCTAGGTAGATTCTCCATGGTCTCCATCCGCTGAGGGTGACGGAGATGGGAAGGTGCAAATGTGTCCATGCTTCAGACCCAGCAACGAGGTGAGGCCGAGGGACAACATTGCCTGCCACTGAGCTAGATCCAGGGACTCCATCCAGCCCTGGGCAGCATGGCCTCTCCCAGACCGCTGACCATGGCAGCCTCCGGCACCCAGGCTCCTTCACTGTTTTGGAAGAGGGCAGTGAGGAGTCCCAGGAGGAGCACTGAGCACGGCCTGGAGATGCAGGGCCCAGGGTTCATTCTGCACCATGTGTCAGTGCTGGGCTCCAGGGAGAATGCTGTCATTACGCCTTCTGCCCAGGCCACCGGTCCTCCCTTTCCACTCAGCCTGGCTCCTTCCGGGCCCTTCTGATCCCTGCAGTGCTCCTCCGTTCCCTCCTCTCTCCCCAGGACTTGTTTTTTTTTTAATCAAAACCTTGACAAAGCATTCCCAAATGACACTAGACCAATTTCCTATTGAATTTCATCTCCTCCTAGAAGGCGAACATATGTCTTCATGAAATGAGCTTTTGTGTTCTTCCTTGAGTTTCTTGGTGAGAAGGAAACAGAAACAACGTGGAATTATTTTCTTGCTCCCCTTTAGTTTTTGCTTTCCCACCCTCCTGCGTCTGCCGAGGCTCACGCTGGCCAGGGCACCAACCTGCACTTGGTGACGCCAGTTTGCATTGTGTTTCAGCCTTTCCCTTAGGTATGGGAACTGGAACAGGAGAGTCTCCTTTGGATTGCGTCTCGATTTACAAAATGGAATTATCCCACTGGTTGTTGGAATTAATGTAGTAAGCTCTTAGACTGGTTGTAAGCGTGACATGAGCTCACTCATCACCTGCTTGCTGCTGAAGGGCAGTGTTTAGTCCTTGACAACATGGCTCGGGCCTAGGTGTCACGCTGGGCACAGATCCCCTGGCATCTTAAGGCCGTTATGGGCCCTGCTAGCACTGTGCCTGGTGTGTGGGCACCCGGGATACATTCTTCAGAATGTCTCTGTGCGGATGGAAGAGTCCATTCATAGGCCAATAAAGAGGACAGGAAAATGAATAGGGAAGTTGGGAGGAGCTGTACTGCCCACTGCCTTGCTCTGGGATATGAAAGCCAGGGCTGTGTCCTACTGTAGGTGTAGAAACAGAGACTGTAGCTTGTCCCAGCACAGCCCTCCTGGAGGGGGGTGCAGGGCAGGGGAGGGGAAGGGAGGAAGGCACAGGGCAGGGAAGGGGAGGGGAGGGAGATACAAGATAGGGGAGGGGATGGGTTCTGGCTGTGATGAACACTAGCCAGCACCAAGCTTCCCTGAGGCTCTGTGGGCGTGGCTGTGGCTGGGTGCCATGCTACAAGGCCCTGTTCACAGACTGGCTGCGTTTCTGTCACCTGCAGAGGAGCTCAAGGCCCCCCTGGAGGAATATGTGCACAAGCGCTATCCCGGGCTGGTGAAGGTGGTGCGGAACCAGAAGCGAGAGGGTCTGATCCGAGCACGCATTGAGGGCTGGAAGGCGGCCACAGGCCAAGTCACCGGCTTCTTCGACGCACACGTGGAGTTCACGGCTGGCTGGTAGGTCCCCTGCCGGCCCCAGGGTCTGCAGGGTGGTGGGAAGCAGAGGCTGGAGGTGGGGCGCTTTGACTGTGTCCTTGGGGGCCATTGGAGGAATGGCGAAGGCTGGCTGGCAAAGCCAGACTGCTGGGGTAGACAGACTGCTGTCCATGCTAGGCCACCGTCCCTGCAGCCTTCACTAGCATCGTTCCCCACCATGCGCCATGGGGTTTGGTTTTGTTTAGTGGTGGGTGCTGGGGTTTGGATGCAGGGCCTTGTGCATGCTCAGGAAGGAGCTCTTCTATATGAGCCATACCTCCAGCCTATTTTGCTTTAGTTTCTGTTTCAAATAGGGTGTTTGCCCAGATTACCCTCAGAGCACAATTCTCTTACCTATGCCTCTACAGAGCTGGGATTACAGGTGTGCACTACCATGCCTAGTTGAACTAATTAATTGGACAAACTCAAGCTGGGAATGGTGCTACACACCTATAATCCCAGCTCCTGGAAGGCTGAGGCAGAAGGATCTTGAGTTCAAGGCCAGCCTAGGCTACATAGCAAAAAGCTGCCTCAAAAAAACAAAGAGCAAAGCGTCAGCAAAGCTCAGGGTATTCCTCTGAAGGAGAGTAAGATGGTCACGTTTTTACTCCTTTCCCTCTTTGCTTGTTCCCATTTCTGGGGAAGACGGCTCCCGGTTATTATGAGAAAAGAGATCTCCTTAGAATTCTGCCTACTCAGGCAGTTGCCCAGGATTTATGGGATTGTCTTTAATATCATTTGGAGGAAGAAGAAATTTATTCTGTGCAGATGTAGCCCCGATGTTCTCCCAGGTAGAAAGAACATAAAGAGAAACTGTTTTGTACACAAGAAGTAGAAGATTCATGCTAAAATTAGAAAAAGGACTTTACAGTTTGAACACACAGTCAAATGATTACTGCCCATTAACCAACTATATAAATCAACACCCAATGGCCAGAGCTGATTAATGAATGAGAGGAATCTTTTCTTTTTAATTGACATATAGTGGCTATATGGATTTGTAGGATGTGGTGTAAGATTTTCACAGTCCTATGCAATAGGCATTGATTAAACCCAAGAAATAAGTATATCTGTCACCTGAAACCCCGATTATTTCTTTGCACTGGGAGCTTTTAAAAAAAATCTCTTCTAGCTGTGTTGAAATATACAGGATATTATGACTAACCACGATCAGGCTACTGTACTGGAGAACACAATAATTTAATCCTCTGCCTCCACCATGCCCTTTGCCTACCCCCTCTCCTAGTCTTCAGCCACTTTTACTCACCTGTGGCTTCAATGAGATCAAATCTCTTTAAAAAAGAAGCAGAGTAGTACACTTACCAAATAATTTGTTTAGAAATTATGCACAGACCCAGATCTGAATATTCTGGCGCCAGGCACCTGTCTGCCTGTTTAGAGTCATTGGAGGATGGGTAGGAGGAGGATGTGCATCTGCACAAGCACACACACCAGAGGGTCGCTGTGAACCCTGGCCCCTTCCAGAGTCCCCACGAATCTGCCACCCTCTTGATAACAGATGTCTTGTCTGGTTTTTCAGTCTTCAAACCCTGGTGATTTCTGGCTGTGCATTCAGTCTCAATTTTTCGCCTGAGTTCAGAGTTGTTTGTCTCTTATAGTAGTTCTCAAAGGAGGTCTCCTGGCCTGCAGCACAGGCACCGTCAGGAACTGGACAGGAACGCAAACCCTCAGGCTCCACCAGCCCTGTGTGCCCAAAGCTGGCATGTGACACTCAGGATGTGGAGTCCTCAAGCTGTCATAACTAGCTCTCCAATCCAACTGGATTGGCGTTACAAGCCAGCACATGAGTCCAGTCCTCTAATCACTAGCCACCACAGGAGTCCAGTCCTCCAATCACAAGCCAGCATGTGAGTCTAGTCCTCCAGTCACTAGCCAGCATGTGATTCCAGTCCTCCGATCACAAGCCAACACATGAGTCCAGTCCTCTAATCACTAGCCACCATGGGAAAGTCCAGTCCTATCACAAACCAGCGCATAACTCCAGTCCTCCAATCACAAACCAGCACATGAGTCCAGTCCTTCAATCACTAGGCGGCATGTGATTCTAGTCCTCCAATCACAGGCCAGCACATGAATCCAGTCTTCCTGTCAAGCCAGCACATGAGTTCAGTCCTCCACTCACAAGCCAGCACAAGTCTAGTTCTCCAATCACCAGTCAGTACATGACTCTAGTCCTCCAATCAGCAACTATCATACGTCTCCAGTTCTCCAGTCACACGACTCCAGAGTGAGAGATGTTGAGCTAAGAACCTTCTTTTTTTATTTTATTTTTCTGGTTGTGGGGCTTGAACTCAGGGCCTGGATGCTGTTCTGGGCTGGAGGTTTGGGGATTCCACTGGATCTTGATTCTCTGGATCTCTTCTTCAGAGCTTCCAGTGGTAACCAAGACAGTCCTGGGCAAAGCTGTCATTCGGAGTCTGGCAGGATTTGGCATCTTGTCCCTGCCCCCCCCCCCCCCAAGTCTGTAGTCTAAGTGGAGGCCGTCTGGTCAAATCCACATCTCTCCAGTCATGAAGACTTGTGCTTTGCATTCCCATGAGTGGCCCATGTCTCCTTCCCAACTATGACTCCCACTACACTGTGAGGGCTGCATCCATGCAGCAGGACCAGAGCCACCTGGGGGATGTGTGGTCCATTCAAGGAGGAGGTTGGAAACCAGACCATCTAGGTTAGAATCCTGCTGACTGTGTGGCCTGGGGCCAGCTCATCAACCTCCCTGTGTCTCAGTTCCCTGATTTCTAAGATGGTGAATGTCGCTCCTCTCCTACAATTGCTGTGGGGTTTCATTAGGCCATGTAAACCACGCAGCCGGGTGCTAGCACTTAGCAAGGGTGGATCCCCAGCAGCTCAGACCCAGCAGAGGCAGCAGGGTTGAGGAGAGGGTTGAGTCGAGAGTCACTAAAAGTGAGGGAAGATGCAGGGGGTTAGTGGCACTTTATGTGTCTCCTTGGTGGTACTGAAGGTGTTCTCACAGGAGAGCGGTGGGGGCAGGACCTGGAGGGGCCAGGCCTGACTCCTGTCCAGGAGCTGTGGAACGTGAGCCCGTTTGGCCTCAGCTACAACATGCTTTATGCAAAAGTATTAAAGGCAATAACTGCCCTTGTTCATTTTCAGTTGAAGGGTAGGCCAGGCACTGGTTGTCAATGCTTGTAGTTCTAGCTACTCGGGAAGCTGAGATCTGAGGATTGCAGTTCAAAGCCAGCCTGAATAGGAAAGTCCAGGAGACTCTTAGCTCCAGTTAACCACTAAAAAGCCTGCAGTGGAAGTGTGGCTCAAGTGGTAGAGCTCCAGCCTTGAATGAAAAAGCTCAGGGACAGTGCGCAGGCCCTGAGTTCAAGCCCTAGTATTAGCACATGCACAGGGATGTGCATGCACGCGAGTACACACACACACACACACACACACACACACACACACACACACACACACACACACACACACACACACAGATAAGATGAGCCAGTGGGTACCTCAGGAGCTGCAAAGCAAGAGAGATCGGAAGTAGACCTCGTGTTTCCTCTCATCATCCTTCTCAGTAACTCAGAGAAGTGGGATTTTTTTTTCCCCTGCCTCTCTTCCAAAGCCTGTGGCTGTCTGTGATCTGAGCCGGGGATTAGTGACCGGGCTTAAGACTAGAGCTTTCCTTTCCTTCTCGAACGTGGGAGATGATCCCTTCCTTCATCCGTCTCAGATGCACACTGGCAGAGGAGTCTGGCTGTCTGCCTTCTCCTAAGCCAGCCAGATGCACCTTGAACCTGGAGCGGAGCCCCTCCTGCTTGGTGCTGCCAGGGGCCGGCCGGGCAAGATTGTGCTGGGCTTTGCATTTAATTAGTCCCAAGTCTTCCATCGAGAACCAATTCAATTAGATCCCTTTTAAGAAATCAATTAAACAATCTACTAAAGCAACCGAAATAGTTGCACACACAAAGGCTAGAAAGATGCTTGTCGGAACCGCAACATGGGGCCCAAAGTGACCTATTTGGGGAAAGGGAATTTGGTGCCAGGAGAGAAGCAGTCGAGAGGTGGCAGCTGTTGCCCTCCAGGGGGCAGCCGCAGTGGGTGCCCAGAGCCAGGACTCTGACTTGAAGAGAGGTCTGGAACTTTCTGAGGGTTTGATATGAATTCTCTTCTCCAGTCTTCTTAGGCCAAAGCAGATATTTCACTGTAAGGATTTCCAACATGGAGGAAAGCACAAGCCCTGCTTTGCCTGCATCAAATCCCCTACCCCCAGCGGGGGGTGGGGGGTGGGGGAGAGGCTGCAGTCTTCACCTCGGGCAGGACCTCTGGTTTGGGGGCCTTGGTGTCCATCTGAGTTCCCGGTGCCCAGCGCCTGGCCTTTTCTCTAGGTGGCTCCTTGTCTCGGGTGTCCCTGGGGCTGGATCTCAGCAGAGGTTGAATTTCTCTCCTGTGATGCAGGGCAGAGCCTGTCCTGTCTCGAATCCAGGAGAACGGGAAGCGGGTGATCCTGCCGTCCATCGACAACATCAAGCAGGACACCTTTGAGGTGCAGCGCTACGAGAACTCAGCCCACGGATACAGCTGGGAGCTGTGGTGCATGTACATCAGCCCCCCGAAAGACTGGTGGGATGCCGGGGACCCTTCCCTCCCCATCAGGTCAGTGCCCTGTGTGTGTGTGTGTGTCATTGGCTAGCCAACCTGATGCCAGGGTAGTAGGGCAGGGAGGGGGTTGGGGCGATGCCACGGGTGGTGCAGGGGGGCAGACAGCTCCCCAGAGGGTCAGTGGCGTCTCAGGGTCCTGGCCTCTTTGCGAGGGAGGGTGCTGCTCTTCTTCAGCTGTGGTTTGCAAGTTCAGCCACACCAGGAGGTTGGCACTGGGAATTAGAGGCCTTGTTCTTCCTGGGTCTCGCTCTGGGGCTGGGGCTTTCTGCTGGGCACACGACCTGGCCTTCGTGTTTTCTTGGTTATGGGCACTGTGGCTCACTGTCTGGCCTGAGTGCTGGGCTCTGTCACAGCTTAGGTACGGGGGCTGTTGCGGGCGCCACGCCAGGGGAGCATCTACCTGGCTTCCCTCTGGTCCTTCCGGACCACTATGTGATTGTGAGGCCTGGTGTTTCCCGCCGTGTTCGCGGTCCAGGATGACACAGTGGTGGCCGTGGGGCGTCTCGTGCAGCCGGAGGGCCCCAGAGATCTGCCCTGGGACTTGGGGCCCTGCATGGTGGCCTGTGGTGTGCATGGAAGGCAGGGGGTCGTGGCTGCAGCCAGTACCAATTCCTGCGGTCACAGAGAGTGACAGAGACCACGTGCCATGTCCCAGCCGTCCCCAGTCCCCTCTGCACCCTGCGTCTCTGCATCTGCTCTTTGCCTACCTGAGTTTCCTCCCTGCTTCCTTCCCCATGGGGCCATCTTCCCTTTCTGCACCCTACAGTGTAGTCCAGGGTGACCTAGGGTTGGAGATCTTTCTGTTTCCGCCCCCCCCTGCCCCTCCCCTCTGTGCTGGAATTCATTACAGGTGTGTGCCACAGTACCCAGCTGCCCTGGCTTTCCCGTCTCCTTCCTGTAAAGACCCTTAGAATTAGGTTTGGGGTTCATATGATTAGTGCAAGGCAGTCTCCTCACTCCAGATCCTTAGCATAACTAGATGCAGTATCTGCAAGATGAAATCTCCCAACCTCAGAGCTCAATGTCCATGTGATGGTCAGGAGGTAGCAGCATTATTAGTTAGGGTTTTTTTTGTGCTGGCTTGGGGGCTTGAACTCAGGGCTTTGCACTCTTGATTAGCTTTTTCCCTCAAGGCCGGCACTCTACCACTTGAGCCACACAGCTCCATTTCTAGCTTTTTGCTGGTTCATTGGAGATGGGAGTCTTACAGACTTTCCTGCCTGGGCTGACTTTGAACTGCGATCCTCAGATCTCAGCCTCTTGAGTAGCTGGGATGACAGGCATGAGCCACCTGTGCCTGGCTACAACAGCATTATTATATAGGAAAGCCAGAATGACTGACAGTCTTGTTCAGAAGAGGTGGAGCAGGCGCAGGCAGCTTCCTGGGTTTAGGGCGTGTTTGCCAGTGCTGTGTGGAAACGCAGAGGGGAAGGACGGGCTTGGGCTGAGGAGCTGAGCACAGATACCACCATCAGGTTCTCTCTCAGGTTAAAAAATGGTGATGAGCGGAGTGAAAGGCATTTCTTGGTGCCCCTCTTACACGGACATCTGAGCCGCCTCTGCGGTTGGAGACCCCGGGTTTGCGTCCCCTCTTGGCTGGGGCTCCCGCCCCACCATTCATTGGTTGGTTTGTTGGTTCAGTGGTGTGAGGCTGCGGAGCAAGTCCTCATGTTGGCTGCAAGGGATAAGAGAAACCCTCCCTGCAGTATAACTGAGGGCTGCATGGGACCTTCTGAGAGATTCCACCTCCCAGGCCTGGTGCTGGCACACCTGCTGACCTTCAGATCTGAAGGGGAAGGGAGGGAAGTGGTAAATCTGAAGTTTGTATTTCTGCCTGGTGGAAAGGGTGATGGGAGGAAGGGGGGGATGGAGGGGGTGGAGATGGGTTATGGTCCACTCTGATGTGGGGAGGAGGAGGTGGAGGGGCCCCCATCCGGGTGGATGTGTCCAAAGGGAGACATGGAGCATTTTCTCCCATGTTTTACCAGTGTTGGGAACATAGTGGATGATTAAAATGCGCTTTTAAGAGAGTCACGAGAAGTCGTGATCATGAGTCATTAATATTACAATGCTGTATGAAATGGAATCAGATCCCAGCAATCTCCTTTGAGATGTCTCTTAAGTCCTGAAACACGTAATTTGTGAAGAGGCGGTGGGGTGCTGAATTGTAGGAAGAGAACTGTGTTCACATCTTTCTGATATTAAGCGGGTAGAATGCACTTGCTTCACCCATAGAACATGGTGGTCCCTCTTCCACCTTTTCCTCCTTCCTGTCCTCTTCCTTCTCCTCCTTTTCCTCCTCGTGTTGCTAACGTTTTAATACTTAGAAGTTTGTTCTTTACAGTTTCCAGAGACCAGCTTTTCTGGTAGGTATTGTGACACAAGACATTTGTCCTAGGGAATGCTGGCTCTGTCCTGATTCTCCCCAGATAGTTTTTCCTTTCTGCCTCTAGAATCATTTCCTGTTGCTCTCCTCTGCTGCAGGGTTTCCAGCAGAGAGAAGACAGGTGTCAGGGGTAAAAGGAGTCACCTGCAAGGCTTGGGGTGTTTAAGAGTACAGGCCTCTGACCCAGAACTCAGGATCCTCCAATGTCAGTCAGTCTCCTGAGAGCTGGGATTACAGGCAGGAACCACCATGCCTTCCTCCCACAACTCTACTTTGTTTCCCCTCTGTCATATTTGGCTTGCTCGGTGAAGCGAGTCCTTCCCTTATTCCTGGATACAAGCATAAGCAGTCCCTGGGATGCTTCTCATTACTCCTGCATGAAATAAAGACCCAGAGTCACTCCAAGCCCCCAGTGGGCTCCAATTCCATTCCATTAGCCAGTTTAGTGCAATAATAACCTAGAACGTAGTTGAAATGAATATCTCCAGCCCTTCTGCTGTGAGTTCCTTTCTGGGGGTGCTGGTAGGCCCTGTCTGCTCTTTGGGTGGGGTTGCAAGTTGTCCACCCCCTCCCCACCCCGTGCTGCTTGCTGGAGCAAGTGTGGATGCAGACTCCCTCCTGTCACCCTCCATCCCCGTCCCCTGAGCCCTGCCAGCCACTGCCTGGTACATCCCCTTTGGGTTCCTTGTTGATTTTTTTTGGTGGGGGGAGGGGGTTGAACTCTGGGCCTGGGCTTTGTCCCTCAGCTCCACAGCTAGAGCTCTACCACTTGAGCCACAGTGCCGCTTCCGGTTTTCTGGTGGTTTATTGGAGGAAGGATGTCACGGAGTTTCCTGCTCCAGCTGGCTTTGAACCGCGATCCTCAGATCTCAGCCTCCTAAGTAGCTAGGATTACAGGCATGAGACACTGATGCCCTGCTATTCGTTGATTTTTTAAAATTGCGTCTCCATCTCCTTATACTGCCCTGTCTTGGATGGTGGCTTGGTGTTGCTCTGTGACTCAGTTTCCTGGTGACTGAGTAAGGAGATCATTTAAGAGTGAGGCAAGCCAAGTACCCAAGGTTCACACCTATGATCCTAGCTCCTCAGGGGCCTGAGAACTGAGGATTGTGGTTCAAACCCAGCCCAGGCAGAAAAGTCCATGACTCCAATTAGCCAGCAAAAAAACTGGAAATGGGGATGTGGCTTAAGAGCACCAGCCTTGAGTGGAAAAGTTAAGGGACAGCATACAAGCCCAGTTACTAGCACAAAAACTAAAATTAAAAAAAAAAAGACAAGGCAGGAAGCAGAATATAGTGAAGGCAAAGGAGAGAAAGTGGATGCATGGAATGAGAGCAGAGGAAATGACGGGTGACAACTCTGTGGACCTAGGATTACAAATTCAACCCAACCTCCATGGGATTTCTTTTTTTTTTTTTTTTTTTTTTTGGGTCCGGTCGTGGGGCTGAACTCTGGGCCTGGGCGCTGTCCCTCAGCTCTTCAGCTCAAGGCTAGCACTCTACCACTTGAGCCACAGCGCCACTTCTGGCTTTTTTCTTTTTCCTTATGTGGTGCTGAGGAATCGAACCCAGGGCCTCGAGCATGCAAGGCAAGCGCTCTACCACTGAGCCAACTTCCCAGCCCCTCCTTGGAATTTCTTTACCAACTAAGAAAGAACAACTACTGCGGATGTGTTGTGATTGGATGCAAACTTAAAATTTTTGTATTCCTTCATCACACCGAGCAAGAAGAGAAGCCGTGTGTGGCTCTCTGCCTGCCAGTTTCAGTACCTGCTTAGCTTGGCACCCCGGGACTCTTCCTGCAGTACACAGGGCACAGGGTGCCACGGGGCACACCATTGCACACACACAGCGCATGACTTTCCATGGGCGGCAGTGAGCGAGTCAGATGACGCCGGAGCTCCCTGCTGCATGTGCTGTAGCCCTATAATTAGTGACATTGCTCATTAATAACCAATTCAAGCTGATGAACAATTAGCCGTCCTTAATCCAACATATAATTTGGTCATGAATTATAAGGTGCAGGAGTGTTACACCTGCTCAAGTCGGCTAGGTGGAGGGCTGCTTAGGGTATGAGAGCTGCCTGCATCTTATCTCCACAAACCGGGGGACCTGGGCCTCCCATCTCAGAGGAGTTCCCAGCCTTGCCCAGCCCTTGTGCCCACCACTGGCATTTTCTGGCAGTCCCGGTGGGATTTGAAGTGAGGATTCACACTTGCCAGGCAAACTCTACCACTTGAGTCATGCCACCAGCCCTTTGGTTTTGTTCATTTTCCAGATAGTATCTCAAGCTGATTTGTGAGACTAACCCTGGATGGTGATCCTTTTCCTCCTGAGTAGCTGAGATTAAAGGTGTGTGCCACTGCACCCACCCTCCACAACATTATTTTATTATGGGGGGGAGGGTGGAGGGTGGGTGTGGGAACAGATCCTCCCTAAATCTTGCAGTCATCTTTGGCAAACTTGAATGTTTGCTTGAAGACACTTGAAATTGCAGACGCTAATCCAGAAGTCCTCTAGCCTAACAGAGATGAACTGAGTGGAGACAAGAAAAACAGAGACTTTATTGCTTAAAAAGTCCCTTCTAATCGGACAGCCATTGTGGAGAA